GGGGTCTTACCTGTTAACAATTTTAAGTTTTGAAAGAGATAATATGATATGTAACTCAATTCATAATGGTACTGGCGTGATTAAGAGATAGCGTATATTTAATCTAATTTGATTATCTCCTCTCTTGGGTTTTTAGTCAGTAGTGGGTATCTTTTCATTATCCCTTAAATGTAGTCCCATCCCTCATTTCTGTCAATTGAAAAAGAAAGTGGATTATTTTGTGTGTGTGACCGCAGCCAAAGTTTCAGCTGTCAATTGTCAAATCAGATGCTGTGGCACACCCATTTCTTTTAAAACTGTTAAGTCCGTGCTTAACAAAATAGCCAGAGAGTGATTTCAGCAAAACTCAGGTTTATTTCAGCTCGACGATCAACTTCTCTGACACGGTACAACTTCTCTGATAGCCTGAACCAGCTTTCATTGTCGCTGTTCGGTATTTAAACATTCCGGGCTAATGTAGCCACACCTACTATACAATTATCAACCTATCAGGTTGATCGCATAACAGACCAATCATAAGCGTTCCCACTACAGACAGTTCAAATGTGATTGGACACAATACTTTCGGCGCGAATCCTTGCCGACGTCTGAAGCTTAGCATAGCTTCTCTATGGGATGATTCTACGTTCATCCTCATGCATTCAGGGCAGCATCTGAATACATTACAAAAACCAACCACAGCTTTCATGACCCAAGAGCCAGTTTGGTGTAGTGGTGAAGTGCGGCGACCCTAACCTGGGAGAACCAGGTTTGATTCCCCACTCCTCCACTTGCACCTGCTGGATGACCTTGGGCAAGCCGTAGTTCTGATAAGAGCTGTTCTTGAAAAAGAACAGTCTCTTTCAGAGCTCTCTCAGGCCCACCTCCCCCTCAGGGTGTCTGATGTGGGGAGGGGAAGGGAAAAGAGATTGTAAGCCGCTCTGAGACTCCCAGTAAAGGGCGGAGTATAAATCCAATCTCCTCCTCTTCTTCAAGGTTACTCAGTGTATCTGGCCAGTTGAACCCAAGTCTCCCGGCTCTTGGTATAACTCTCTAACCACTGTGCCACACAGATGTTCAAAAACACAAAGAGCAGTCAAGCGGCTGCTGATTTTCCGGCCATGTTTCCTAGGCCGCCGCCCTGGCAAGCCAATGCAATACAAGCTCCCCGGTCACCAGAACAGCTTGAGTAAACCCCAGACAATGGCTGTGGCGACACAAAATGCCCTCCTAAACCGAGTCCCAGGGACAAATGGGAGTCTTCAAACCAAAAGGTTTTAGAAAAAGAGATTTTACAAATGCAGGGAGTATGAGGAGAGGCTAATCGGGTAAAACGCAAATGGTATGAAAACCGTTCGTAATCGGTGGTGTGGGAAGAGGGCACGTTCCCTGGTTTTGCTAAACTAGTTAACAGCTGCACTGACAGAGAAATCCGCTTAGCTTCGTCCCGCTGTGTGAGAGAGAAAAATCTCTTTAGGATTTAGGTTAAAAACAAAAATAGAGTTTCCCGTGGCCACCAGGGGTCGCTACCGGGCGAGGGCCGCTGAGGCAGGCGCGGCGCAGTGGCGGATCCCGGCCACCAGGGGCTGAAGTGCCTTCTTCCCCCCTCCCTTTCTGCCCCCCCCCCTGCATTTTGTAACCTCCACCCTCCCTATTGTGTTGCCTTTGGCGCCTTGGTGCTATATAAGCCGCGGCGGAGGCCGGAGCGCAGGCTTTGCCGTTGCTGCTGGGGACGTCAGGGGGGTTGTCGAGCTTCCCGAGGGCGCCGCCGTGCCATGGAGATGGAGAATCGGTTGACGCTGGAGTTGCGGAACAAGACGCCCGGCGAGGTGAGCCAGCGAAGGGCGCCTCTCTTTTCACTGCATAGGCCCGGCCTCGTTTGCTTCCCCCCCGCCTCCTGCCCCATTTTTGGACGCACGTGTACCCAGCCGACATGTTGGAGACTCGCATTCGGCCCACGGTGGGCGCTTTGAGGCGAGCTCTAGCCACGCGCGCGGGGGGTCTTCTCTTCCCCAAGCTGCAGTCGTTTTCCCGGCGGAAGTGGGACCCCTCCCTGCTTTGCAATCTCTCCAGCGGCCCCCTTTTTTCCGCCCTCGCCAAAGTGCGTTTTTACGCACAGGAACACTTGCAAAAATCCGTCTTTACGCAACACCCACCACTCAGGCTCCACTGGACTGTTTTGGATTGCTAGCTAGGGGGGGGGGGGGGGGGGGGGCTGTGTTTCTTTTGTTTCACTTTGATTTGTTTGGTGCCCCCCGAAAAAGGGAGATTTGACCATTCGCCTGCCCGGGGGGCGTCCCGTTTTTTTAAGGGCGCTTGTTGCAACGGCTCCAGTCGAGGCCTCCTTTCCTGGTGAAGGCGGTTTTGGCGTGCCCCCTTTGGAGGAGATCACTAGGGTAGGGCAGAGGTGTGTTGTGTTGTGGCGAGGGGGGGTGGCAGTGTGTTTGGGGGATGGAATAATACAACGTGCTTCCCTGAGTGTTTAGAAATGGCGTGGGGCGTGGGGAAAAGGGTGGAAATAAAGGGGGCAATGGAACAAGAAAGAAAGGGGGCAATGGAACAAGAAGTTAAATGTTCCGTGGGCCAAGCCCCCCCCCCAAAAAAAGTACAGCGCTTTGGACCCACCCCCGTTTGCCCGATCTCTCTCCACTCCATGGCCGATGCGTAACTAAGGCGCACTTGTCTTTCTTACGCAGTACTAGGGGGGAGGGTGATTTCCCTCCCCGCAATGAAAATGGTCTGTTGTGGCCTGCCTCCACCTCGAGGGAGTTCAGAAGCTTCTCTAGCGTGTCCCCCCCCCCCCCAAAAAAGGGGGCGGGATACTTAAAAAAAAAAAAACCCGCGCACGGCACGTGGGAAACTGACACCGGTTTAAAAAGCCGATGCGAAGGATCATTTTATTTTCCGCTTCGGGGCGGGGTTAAGAGAGAGTGGTGGGAATCAGAAAGGGGGGAAAGTTGATCGTCCTGCCCCCCCCCGGGGGGTGAGTAGGGGAGAGAGCGAGAGCGCAAGCAAGCACAGTGGCTCTTTTGAGAGCGCAAAAGAAAGACCCCCCTTGATGGGCGTCGCAACCCGGACGCTACCCAAGGAGGCTGGAATGGGTTTCCTCGGCTTTGAAAGAGGCAAAAGGAAAAAATGCAAATAAAAGGAGGCACGCGGGTTGGGGGGGCGGACCCATGTCCACGTGTAGGTTTTTTTGTGGGGAGGGGGAGGGAAATGGAGGCTGGGCTCGAGCCTTCCTCGGCGGAGAGGCCGTCGGCTTGCGGCTCTTTTTTAAAAGGGTCATCCGCTCGGTCTGAACAGCAGGGGGGCAGCGTGGCTTGGAGCGGCGGGGAAGCTACACGGGGCGGACATGGCTGGATTTTCACGCGCACTATAGGCTTAAACTCCCCCCCCCCGAAAAACACACACACACACACACCACCCCACGCGCACCCGCAGCTCCGAGCGCGCAAAACTTTGCCAGCCTCGATCCGTGGAGAATCTTCCCCTTTGGAGACATCATGATTTGGGGTTAGCTGCGTGGCTCGGCTTTGGGGGCGGTGGGCGGTGAGCGCGTTGGCTTTCCTCCACGCGGAGGGCTGCCTAGCCTGGGGCGCTGCGAGCGAGGCGCGTCTCCTCGGGAGCCAGTCCTCGCTGCGTTTGGCGGGCGAGTCGATCCGGGGAGAGCGCGCATGGCCGCCTCGGTGGCGAGATGGCTCCGTGGGAGCAGCCATTTTCCGCCGCGGCCGGCCGGGCATCTCTGGGTTCCAGCATCTCCCTTCTTGCAACGTGGGGATGTCCGAGAACGAGACACCCGTGTCCATTCCCCCATGAGCTGGTGTCCAGAACCCCCCCCTTCTAGGGCCACTTGGGTCAGAACGTGGGTCGTGGACCTCCGTCCCCTGCAGCCCTTGTGGACGCAGGAGGGGGGGGTGTTGTTGAACCCCGGCTGGGCCACAAGTTTCTTTGCCCTGCGCTTCATGCCAGGCGTGCTTCCGCCTCTAGCGAGAGAAACCCGTTTGGAGGCTATCATGGCTTCTCCCCATGAGGAACTCTGGGAATTGTAGTTCTCTGAAAGCTTGGGGGGGTGGTTAATGCCCAACCAAAGGGGTAAAAGTGAATCCCCCCGCTGCCGCGTGGGCAGGAGGCCTGGCTGATGAAATCACTGTGCAAGAAGACCTGATCTCTTCTTTGGGTATCCGATTCCGATGTCACCTTTGCTTGGCTGGTCTCCATTTCCCCTCCGGAGACAAGCTAGGAGAGGCGGCGGCAGAGCCCTGTGACATGGTGGCCAAAGGCTTGGTTGTTTTCTCCAGACCGGGGTGGCCAAACTTGCTTAGCGTAAGAGCCACACACAATCAATGTCAGATGTTTGAGAGCTGCAGGACGTGAACAGATATGAAACGTTTTTACTGGGAAATGTGCAGATTTGCTTTTTGTTAACATTAAACGAGACTGCCAAAAATAATAGCAAAGACGGTAAAAGTAGATATTGATAGTGATTTTTATTTCTCCAGTGATGCTTGTTTGCTAGTGATGTTTCATTTCCCTGGCCATGCTGCCGGGAGCCACACAGTATGTGTGAAAGAGCCGCATGCAGCTCCCCAGCCACAGTTCGGCCATCCCCGCTCCACAACCTCCTCTTTTGCCAGATCCAGTTTGGGAAACTATTGGAGATTTGGGGATGGAGCCTCGTGAGGACAGGGACCTCAGTGGGGTACAAGGCCACAGAGACCACCCTCTAGAGCAGCGGTTCTCAACCTGTGGGTCGCGACCCATTTGGGGGTCGAACGAGCCTTTCACAGGGGTCGCCTAAGACCATCGGAAAACACCAATTTTTGATGGTTTTATGATAGCAACGAAAATAATTTTATGGTTGGGGGTCACCACAACATGAGGAACTGTATTAAAGGGGCGCAGCATTAGGAAGCATTAGGAAGGTTGAGAACCACTGCTCTAGAGTATCCATTTTCTCCAGGGGAACTGATCTCTGTAGTGTGGAGATGAGCTGGCATTCTGGGGGATCCCCAGGCCCCACCTGGAGGCTGGCATCTACAATGTTTAGACTTTAAAAAACAAACCCCAGTCCTTAATGGCTATATTAGCACAAGCTGTGGTTGGAATTTAAGAGGCACTTTTATGGCAGGGTTGGTGTTGCCAGTCTGAAATACGCGGCAGCAGGGTCCTGGGTTTGAATCCCCTCCTGTGCTGCAAATTCGCTAGGTAGCCTTAAATAGAATCTTGGTCAGTCTCCTGGCTTGCAGTATAGGGGGGAGTGAAACTGGCTTCATACCAAGAGAGGGATGAATGTTTGAAACACCTCCTGGAATGCTTGCTTGTTGCTCACAACAATTGCAGTCTCTGCAGTCAAATTTACAATAGGCTTGGCTTAGAAAGGTCTGTAACCCTACCAATGAACTCTGTGTGTGTGTTCTGCCCCCCCCCTTTCCCCCAGGGCAGTGGTGGCGAACCTATGGCACGGGTGCCAGAGGTGGCACTCAGAGCCCTCTCTGTGGGTACGCGTGCCATCTCCCCAGCCAAGCCCAGACCATCATAAAAGTGTCAAATTCTCTGCCAAATAATTTTAAGCAAATGAAAGCATTTGGGATTGCTTTCCTTAATTTGTTTGGATCATCTTAAGTTAATGTATGGGTTGTTTTTTCTAAAGTAAAACCTCAGTATTCAGGTTAAATTGCTGTGTTGGCACTTTGCGATAAATAAGTGGGTTTTGGGTTGCAGTTTGGGCACTCGGTCTCTAAATTCGCCATCACTGCCACAGGGTATCTTTTGCTCACCACAACAAGGAGAATAATGTCCCTCTGATGCCTTGAACGCCTTGTTAGAAAACTCCTCTTTTTATATCTTATCTACAATAGGGCTTGAAATGAGGGGTCTGTGGCATACAAGCAAGCGAAGGTGGGCAAGTAGTAAAGACACACACACACACCCCTTATCTGGGCCACCAGGCTTGGCCGTGCTCATGTGGACTAGCACCTTTTCAAGGCTTGTGTGGTGTAGACTCAATCCATAACTGCCCATTCTTGGGTTTTGTGCCAAAATTTTCTTAGAAGAATTTCATGCACGTCTTATTATTGTCTAACTCAATTAAGGGTGGCCTCCCAACAGTTTTGCTCTGCTTGTCTTTTGGCTCAAGCCTGGTGGCTCTCAGTATGAATTTATGGAGCCATTTTGGGGGCCTTTTACTAATTCAGGGCACTTTACTAATAAGCACAAGCGAAGGAGATATTGTCCCTTGCTCCTTGGTTTCTTCTTTTTTTTCCTAACCTCCTCCTCAGTCTTCCTATGTATGTGACGCGATTCCCCCCTCCCCACCAATGTTCTAACCTATGTTTTGTGAGATCAACTTGGAAAGTATGAGAAGTCGTTTGAAAGACTTTTTTCCCCACAGAGAGCAAGAAATTCAAGTCATGTGTCATTTAACCTTCAAAAAAAACAACAACAACACAGAGGTTACTAGACAAAATTCCTAAATAGCCAGACAGAAGATAATCCAGGAGAGGCTTACTTGCTGTTGCCTTATTTACAGTGTGCATTTCAATATAACATGGAGTGAGTTTAATACTCTTAGAATCTTATAAAGAAACCCCAGTTATTTGGGGGGGGGGGGTTGTTGCATTCTTAATTAAAATGCCCTGGAACCTGTGTGTTAAAGGAAGACCATGCTGGTTTAAAAACTGGGAAGTGGTCCCAAAGCTATAGAGTAAAATTTCTTTCTCATAGGTAGATGTGTATGTTTTAAAATAAAGGGTATCCCTCAAGCTTTGCTCTCCAAGTAAGTTGCACTGCACTCCCAAACAGAATTACACCCAGAGTAGTGTAATGGTTA